GTTCAGATGCGCACTTCCATAATGATAGCAACCAGTCTGCGGTGTACCCTGTCTCTTGCCCAAAACAGCAGTTACTCAAAAAAAAACGTAACACCGAATTCATGATTGTTTGACCATCTATATGTCTGTGCTGTAGAATGTACCATTTTTGACCACCAGGACGGAAGATATTTCATCATGACTCAAAGTGCAAAAGAGAACAACAGTTCTCTCACCAAAGTGAAAAAAAATTCCAGAGTCTCTGTATTTGTTGGCTTTTTTTTCCCAATCAATCTAAGTGAGACGGTCACTTCCTTTGTTGCTTCCATAGCTGACTCGAACTACGATATAGAATAAGGGGAAAATGCAGGAGTACTGCATTTATGATTGTTTGTCCACCTGAATGCAGGCACGGTGCATAGGGTGACCTTATTTTGATTTGCGAAAGAGGACACTCAGCCCCAGATGAGATGCTGTGTGAGCGAGTGTGTGTGTGTGTGTGTGTGTGTGTGTGTGTGTGTGTGTGTGTGTGTGTGTGTGTGTGTGTCTGCACATGACTTTATGAGATGATCTCCGACCAGCACTTTTATTAGACATTGAAACATATGTGCGAAATATGCACCGTTACCTTTTGTTATGTGTCGTCACTGTTCTGAGCTCCGAGCCGTAATCGTGATTTAGCTCACGGTCCAGTGCACAGCGGTGAAACACAAACAAATGAAGGAGATATCGTCTTGCTTGCTTATTCAAGATATTTCCTCGTTGGGTGACGGTTACGCGACATTTTATTTTTATGCGGGAGTGAAGGTGACAGTTCCCCTGTCACTTCAATAGCAAGTAGAGAACATATATTCCTCCAGACAAATTTAATCAGGGGTTTACACCAAAATTAAACAGGCTATCTCACCTACCACAAAAAATTTTTAAACAATTTATGAATTAATCCGTTTGGGAATTTAGCTGAATAGGTTGACGTAAATAAAATAGGAAAGCTGATCATTCCTGAGAATGTCAGGAGTGGTGATTTCTCCACCTCAACAACAAGCACGTCATTGTCTGCGTGTACGTTGGATCACATGGGACCATCCTGGCCGGGCTGTTTGTCGGGTCAGCAGAGAAGACAAACCCGCGCGGGTGACTCACTCGTCTGCCTGATGTTCCAGTCTAATCTGTGGCTTGGCACCGGAATCTGGTGTGTTTACATAGACGCGGCGGGGAATCCTGCAGTTTTCACACGTGGTATTTAGAAAGTAGCAAGGATAATCAACAGATTAAGACAATAAAAGAGGGTAGCATGAAATATTCACTTGAGAATGAAACATAATTCATTCTAATTAAACGACTGTACGTGGATCACACACGCACGTGCATGCGCACACTATACCGTTTCTGTCTTAAAATTGGTGCTGTCAAGAGATTTGAAAAATTGTGAGATTAATTAATTATGATCTGTAATTAATTGATCTAATTAATTTATATTTTAATCTCATCTAAAAATTGCTGAGAAAACCCCTATTTTCGTTTCAAATTCATTACATTACTGAGCATTGAGGCAGATCAAAAGATTCACATCACAAAAAAGTGGTATTCTAAAATATTTTATTGTTTTTAAACAGACAGGCTCTGAAATAGCTCAAACTATGTGTAATCATCCACGGTGGATTTTAATTTGGGAAAGTACAGAGCGAGTACCAGTGGGAGGTGAAGAAGAATGTAGGCATGTGGAAATATTGTGCTTTCGGGTCAAAGGTTTGAACCGCAACTGTAAATCTGCGCTACGGTGTTTTAGCAGCCCCATACTGTCTTAATAAAAACAATCAAAACTGAGCTTTATGTTTATAAAGGCACAATGTTTTGCTGCGGCGCCTTTCGTATTGGATCGCAGTAGATTGTCTGCTCGATGTACGTAATCTATATTGACATTCTGGTGTGAGAAGTCCAAATAGTGATGATCATATCAACCTTCATATTTGGGTGCGGTTTAACGTCCAGTTTTCAATCTATTTTGGAACATCATGTGGACATACAGATGGGGTCCTTGACATGGGCATAATATGCCGGTCCACTGCGAATCGGATATTTAGTGGGCTACACATCCATCATGATGGAGAAACTGGATCAAATAAATAATAAATCATCAGAAATATTCACCAGAAATCCATTTCAACGCCGTTGCTCATTCTGATTGCTGTAGTAGTTGGCAGTGATAGGTCACTGCTCACTACAGCTGAAAATATGATATATGTCTGTCATAATGATGAAATAGGAGACATTTAAGTCACATAAAGACAAAAAAAAAAAAAATCAATGAAAACCCCTTTTCTCATTCTGATTGTTGTCATAGTTGGCATGGGTTGACCACTACTTACTGCAGCTCAAATTGTGATTCAATGATGTCGAGCTCAGAATCTCTTTACCTATGTCCTGATCAAATCTACCAAAAACATGTTAGACCAGCTGTCTATTGACTGTGACAGACTAAGATGTGGTGCAAGGTTGGACAGACTCGCCATCAAATTGTCAACATGCACTGGGGGCATTTCGAATGACGGAGCCTCGCAAACCCTTGGCGCAGACAGATCAGTCAAATTATCAACAAAGAAAAAAGCAGTGAGTCTTGCGCCTGCACGCAAATCTGGATACACCAGCATTTCTGCAAGCACTGCCAGCAAAAATGAAACTCCAAAGCCATTACATCACAAGATCGTTGTCATTTCAGAGCATGCGGAATACACTCGTTTGAAATAAGCTCAACAAAGAAGAAAAACGGTAGCTCCAAAAGAAATGAAAGAGGTGCCCCAAGTCTTTATTGGTAGGTGATCAGTGTTTCATTCACTGGCCATGCTTGGTATGTTAAGTTGAATGAGAACATTCCCGCAGGCTAAAAAGATTTTCACGCCAAGTGGAACAGTATATTTACCCAAACAAAAAGGGTACTTGCACAAATAAAATACATATTTCATCTCATCTCAACTGCAATCATATGGTGGTGGGCTGATTTTCTTTTATTGCTTGGAGATGAGGTTGCAGATTGGTGAGTCATACCGTGTTTATTGCCTTGTATACCATCTGCTCCCAAATGGGTGGTATCCTTATCCTGTGTGAGCCCTGGATAATTATTGAAGTGTTAAGAACAACAACAATGACAAAAAAGCTAGTAGATGCCAGGAAGAGAAAAAAAAAAAGAAACACTTTGATCTGATGGAGATGATAAGACGGAGAGAGAAGGAGGTGTGCTGTGATAAATGACACCTTTGGGTGGTATGCAGCCGAATCGCGAGTCCCTATCAGTCGACCTCAAGTGTAAAATGTGCCGAAAAAATGTACTTTCTTTAGAAGTGTAACAATTCATGCCGGCTCAACTAAAACAGCCATGTGATTTCTCAGTATGATCGGAAAAAAAAATATCTATAAATAAATAGAATTTGATCAAAAACGGTTCCTGGGAAACTTTTTGTCAGTTATCAAGTGGCACTAACGTCATCTTTTTATTGCTTTGAAGACATGTCTGACTACAAATGTAATAATAAACATTCAGGAAAGGGGAAGAGAAATATTTGGATAATGACAGAGGTTTTTCTTTTTTTTTAAAGTGAAAATAAGCACGACAGAATTGGACTGGTGGCCTCCCTCCATCGATTTAATATAAAACACTCAACATCTGATTGCAGTGTCGACTTTGAAGTTCAAGATGTTTCCATTTTCAGGGACTTGAGATTCTTTGGACAAAGTGACATCATTTTGTATTGCCTGAGCCAGACGACGTCACCCGTTCCAGATCCACCGCCACGTGGAACGTTTTGGCTCATGAGCAGTTCCTTTCTATCGCCTTCTGTTTCTTTTCTCTCGTCATCATTCTGATACAAGTTAGACTTCTCGTGTTCAAAGACTGAAGCTTCATCATCATGTGGGAAAGCATTCTGTCATCCACATAATCAAATAAAATCCGCAAATAGAAAACATTTTCTGAAGGCAAGTGCATCTACCCAAACACGATGCAAACCGCTTAACCTCATGAGGGTCGTGCGTGTGCTGGGGAGTAGATCGAATATTTAGATGTGTCAGGGACCCGATCTCAACCCAATAGAGCATCACTCGCTGAAGACCAAAGATCAGTACTCACAATTGAATTCAGTTTTATATTCATCCAAATACTTTTGACCCCTCAGAAAATGGCGACATCCTGCATAAAATGGCGGTAAATGGTAAATGCCATTTTTACCGAAACACATACACGTGTTTGTTGTTTTATTTCAAATCAATTGTGGTGCAACATCATAAAAACACTGTCATTGTCCAAACACCTCTGGACATAACTGTCTACTGTTTATTAAAATACTCTTAGTACGTGCGTACTAGTGATGGCTTCTGTACTTTGACCTCACCAGTAATGAGAACATTGAAACAAATGTGGGGCGGGGGATGGGGGGGACATCACATCTATGCTCTCGTTTCTAATGATACGTAATGTCTTTTTGTGAGTGAGGCTGAATGTTGATATCAACTATGAGACATTAAACTGCTAGCTGCTATTTCTTTCTTTCTTTTTTTCTTTTATTTTTGAAATGCAAATTCCACCACGTCGACTAAAACATTTTTTTGCCGATCCCATTACCGACTTCCAAATACAGGTGGTCCTCGGTGACCAACGGTCCGACATAGTATGTCTCTCACTTGCTGTCTTTCTCACGGTTTTTCATTAAATTGTGTTACATTCATAACCAGAAGTGTTTTTATACATATATTTACCGTAAATAGAGAAGGTAATTTATTTTTATCCCTGAATGTGGAAATTTAAATTTGACATTTGGGAAATAGGAAAAGTTCCCCAGATATCCTGAATGAGTGGAATAGTCTGAATCTGAAATTGTTTGACATGGCCAAGAAATTAAACTGCAGGGAGTAATGTGAAATTTCTTAATTTAGGTGTTGTATTTGGAAATTTCAGCAATTTGGGGAATGGGAAGAGTTAAAGAGTATTATAATTTTTGAGAATTCGTTTTCCTGATCATGTGATTTTAGGGAACCTGTTTTTTCCTGAATGTTTGCAGTGCTGTCAAAGTACACAAACAAATCGAGCTAGCCACCACAAATAAACAGACAAATGTCACGGGGGTGCTTCTCTGTTATATGCAGTGCAAAAGTCTAAGTCAACGTTGAAGATACGATGCCCTCTTGGTGCCTAACTTTGAGTATGTTGCGGAGTCGTCTCTCTGCTCCCTCTTGTCGCTCCACTTGTTGATTGTCAGAACGCAGAACCCCAAGTCTTCAACCAGACTCGCTTTTCTTAAAGTCTTTGCTGAATTTGAACACCAAAGAGGATCCCTGCGAAGAAAGGACATGCAGAATTAGTGTTTAGTTTTTTTTTTTAAAGGAAGGAATGAAGGAAAGAAAGTGATGCAAACAAGAAGAAAGCTAAGACTCTTTTGTGTCTAGTCAATACCACCTAAAACCCGCTGTCACAACTCCAATGCACGGACCACTACACCTTACCCTAAATGGACTTGCACTTTTAATTACAGCATCGAATGACATACAGTCAAGTGGGGCGTAAAAAAAATTAAAAAATAAAGTGGCCAGTAAATGTCGGTCAACAGAAAATACAGTATTTTCCACACTAAAGGGCGCACTGGATTATGAAGAGCACCTTCAATGAAGGGCCTATTTTATCATTTTTTTTCATATATTGGACGCAAGGCATTATAAGACGCAATCTACAATGCATCCACTAGATGGAGCTATGCTCAAGGAAACACCAACAGAACGATCAGATGTCAGTATAACGTATTCAATAAAGCAGCGACACAGTTCACTTAACCAACAGCAAGTTATAACAACTGACTCGTTGAACTCTCTTGCCGCTGCTCAATTTCCGTGTTCAACTGCGTAACCGATTGCCTTAAGTTTGAACTCTGCGTTGTCAGCATGTCTTGAGCAAGGAGCCAGTTTGGGGTCGAAATATTACCGTAATTGCCGTACATAAGGCGCATCGGATTTTAAGGCGCTGTGAGCTTTTAAGGAAATATCAAGGCTTTTAGGTGCGCCTTTTTGTACGGAAAATACGGTAGTCACTTTAGTTTATGAGCAGAAATGGTGGAAAAGGCGCAACAAGACGATTGAGAGAGGGAAAAAAAGGATACATGACAATTTCATCACTTCAGTTGTCCCTATTTGAACTGCAATGTGTTGAATTTCCTTTATAGCAATATCAGAAAATTTGCATGATCGAGCTGTTTAATGCACCAGCCCTTTTCTTCCGACAAGTAATACGGATTTGGGACTTAAAGTGTGTTAGCTTAAGCTAGGCGGACGAAAGATATGTGGCGTTTGAAAAACACAGCGTAATTCATCTAATTCTCCCAAGCTATGACAATTTCATCACTTCAGTTGTCCTTATTTCATCTGCATCGTCTTGTATTTCCTTATAGTAATAGAAAATTTGCATGTTCGAGCTGTTTAATGCAACAGCCTTTTTCTTACGATTTTGCCTTTTAACGGTAACCCGAATTGAATTCTGACTGAAATTCAATATGATGAAAGTGTTCGCATGTTCCTGCAGCACCGACAGTGATCGAGAGAGGTAGAGACAGTCACACACTCATGACACTAAACGCTAGCACACAACCAAGGCGTCACTTCTTACTTACACAGATACCACTGCACTCACTCACTGTGGAGCTTACTTCTTCTTCCCGCCTAATGACATATTTTCAGTTTTTTTCTTCTGTGCCTCATTGAACAAAAGACATACCTGTATGTTAGCAAGTGGCTTTGGATGGGGGCGGTGCGCATGCATGCATGTGTGACCGTGTGCACCTCATACAGACGTGACTTGATTTTTGGGGAGTTGGTGCCCCCCTGACATGAAACATTTTGAATTCACAAAAATTGAAACTGTTGACTTGAATACGGGTTTTCAAAGTGTGGGAAAGTAAGTCGCTAAACAGTTACCACCCAACTGCTTGTGGCTTGGCATTCATAATTCCACTTATTTGTTTTCTCTGGAACTCATCTGAAAACATTCAAAATAATATGTAATGCTCTACAATGCCACAAGATGGCGTTTGGTTTGAGTGCCTTGGGCACTTGGGTGTTGGATAATACAGACATACGTATAACGTATACAGGAAGACGTTTACAATGCCTTTGTAAGACGCAGTAATATTTGTCGCTCTTTGCGGCGGATAAATAATGTATGTCTGTGAGCATTGTTATATTATCTGACTGCAGGTGTTACGCTACTGTTTGTTTTTAAAGGTCCCTTGTTTAAAGCTGACTCATATAACTTTTTGGGGGAAAACCCCTCCATCATATCCACCCAAGCCACTACTAAAGGATACACAATGCTGATTAAGCCGCTCATCTCACATCTTGCTCTCTTTTTCAGTGTTTGACCTTAAATGTTTTGTGTTGACCGACATTATCGTGCTCCCGTTCGTAAAACGGCAACGAAATGTATTGTTTTCATTTTATTTATATTATTTAGGTCATTAGTTTGTATTATCTTGAGCAGAAAAAAAACCAATAATTTCCATGTAAACAACAAAAAAATTGCCAAGAATGATTCCATAGTTGGTCAACAAGGTGCCTGACCCAAAAGACATGAAGTTCAACACCAAACAAGAATAGGGAATGACCCACTCTGTTTGTATTGTACCGCCTGCGATATTTCTGTCAGATATCGTCATCACAATGTCAGATAAGCTTCGATAGGAAAACAAATAAAAATAAGCGGCGGAGAAAAATTCTCCCAAGGACCCCTTAATTGCTCAACAAGGTGCCTGACAAGAGTTATATCCTGCAACGCTGATGCTATTCGTTAGCTTACCGATGACATTTTACATTGTGCTAGCTTCAGCTAAGTGGACGAAAGCTATGTGGTGTTTGAAAAACACAAAGTGTAATTTCCCTAATTCTCCCGGGGTAAATTTGGAAAATTATTTGATTTTAAGAACTGAAAATTTACTTTTAACACAAGGTTGAAGTTTTTTTTTTTTTTTATCTTTATTTTTTCCCAAACTTTGAAAACCACTGGACTAGATGTTACACCGAGCCAAGGGGCTTTTGTGTAAATGTTCAATAATCAATGACAGAAATGTGACATCAAATTATCAAGAGGTCTGCATCTGGATGAAGTGAATCTCTCTGTTCAAAATGGTTCATATTCGAGACAACGACTCAAACACATACACGATAGATTAAATAGGTTCTACCTCTGTCATGGCATCATCGATCTGTTTCAGCTCCTCGTAGTGGTCTCGGGAGTCCCTCAGCGGTTGAACCATGATCTCCTCAATTTGAGGGAAAAGCTGTTTGAGAAGACCGCAGATAAAGGCATGTCAAAGTGTTCACACAAGCGACACGTGCAGGTGAAGCCTACCTTCATGACGGTTTCAAACATGGGGATGAGCACAAACTTGATGAAGCCGATCTGGGCGGTGGGCTTGGTGACTTTGTCTCTGTCCATGAAGGGGGCCACCGGGAGGCCCTCTGACTTTTCACGGTCACTCTGGGAGACGCAGATGTTAGCATGCATTATTTTCCTGAAGTGCATTTTTGATTGCTCACTGCTTACGTACAGTTCTGTTGGGACTATATTTAACTTTGAGTTCAACGCATCTGCTGAAGAATTGTTTAAGTATTTTTTTTTAAATTAAAATATGAGTTGGTTGAATGCTCACCTGCATGAAGTACTCCTCCAATAAGCAGTCCACCCACGGCTCGGCCACCTCGGTGGGCCGCACCTCATTGGAAATGTCACAGCATTTGATCAATACCATCTTGAGCTGAAGATATCACAAAAGTTCGTCATTTAAAGGCATTATTGTTCAAGACGTACATTCTATAACAAAAAGCTCTCGACTTTTTCCAATTTACAATATAACCGCCCCTCAAAAACAAAAGTTTTTCCTGATCAGAACATAAATCAGCTCTGCTATCTGAAAATCCAGGGCCATTGTGAAGTGATAGGGGTAGACAAAGACAAGCAACACAGAGTGGCTAATGTTCACATAAATGTTTTCTCTCCATTGAGTGACCTGTTTTAAGTTGTAGTAAACGTACAGTTCTGTTGGGACTATATTTAACTTTGAGTTCAACGCATCTGCTGAAGAATTGTTTAAGTATTTTTTTTTAAATTAAAATATGAGTTGGTTGAATGCTCACCTGCATGAAGTACTCCTCCAATAAGCAGTCCACCCACGGCTCGGCCACCTCGGTGGGCCGCACCTCATTGGAAATGTCACAGCATTTGATCAATACCATCTTGAGCTGAAGATATCACAAAAGTTCGTCATTTAAAGGCATTATTGTTCAAGACGTACATTCTATACCAAAAGCTGTCAACTTTTTCTAATTTACATCATAACCGCTCCTCAGACAAACACAGTTTATCTGATCATTACATTTATCAGCTATGCTATCTGAAAATCCAGGACCATTTTGAAGTGATAGGGTTGGACAAGGACAAGCAGCGCGCCTATTTTACCAGCGCAACCACGACTCAGGAGGCTCCACTCACAGCATCTCATGCATTTAAAAGGTATGCTACGGAAATGGCCAGAGCTTTTGCGGACGCACCCCCCCCCCCTTTTTAAACAGTTTCTTTGTCTTGCTGATGACTTGTTCGCAGGCTGCCTTTACTCATCTAAAACTGGATATAGCCAATGAAGCCGCTCGTGCTGTAAAGTGCTGACATGATGTATTTACACAGGTCACATGCTCCTCGTTGGTGAAGTCGAAGTTGTCCACTTTCTGCTTGAATGAGTCCAGTATCTCGCCATGTCTTGCCATGTCAGTGGCCAGGATGAGAGTGATAATGGCCTGCAGTCAAAAGAGCAAAGTTAGCTTTTTGTTCAGGTTGGCTTGAAAACTGCACATGTGATTAATTACTCCTCTCCAATGAGATGCAATTCAAACGCCGTTTCCCAAAAACTGCTTTTATAAAGATGTCAATGTTCTCATCGCAACAGTGTATTTGCAGTAACACTAATTGGCCGTTGCTTTAAATCTGGATCTGTTCATCTACTGTCCAAGCATCCATCTCTGGCCATCCTTGTGCAGATTGTCTTGTGTCTTGGATGTCAATAAATGTGGTAGGTGTACCTAATAAAGGGTCTGGTGAGCACATGTGCAGTCGCACTCACCTGTCGAATCTGTTTAAATGCTTCGGGATCCACATTTGCAAAGATGTTGCACTCGGGAAGGGAAATAATCTGAAAGGCCACCGCACAATGATGGTTCTCCAGTGGTGAGATGTCATTGTAGCGCACCGCCAGCTCCGTGCGTGCGTTGATTTGATACCTGATCGGTGTGCAACATGAGTGGATGCTTTTAGAATGCTGATGAAAATGCTCGAAACTACAGCAACCGAGCGCAACCCCCCCCCCTCCAAAAAACCCGAAATGAAAATCTCCGGATCAGCATTGCGGTGGAATAGCTGCACAGTTCAGCAACATCAGTCTCAAAACATTCTCAGGTCAAAGTCATCTCCAGTGCTTTATCAGTCACCCCGCCCAAATAGCAAATCTTACGTGTTGTTGTATCCAGGGTGGTCCAGGTCGTGACACACCGCAGCTGTCATTAGAATGCCCATATCAGTTAAAGTCAGCTTCTCCTGCACAACAACAGTGAGAGTTTACGCAAATTGGGAGGTCCAAAAAGGTCAGGCTTTCAGGAAAATGGGAATCCGCACCTGCAGGTTGCAGAGGTGGATCATGCCGTACATCATCTGACTAACGCAGAAGCAGTGACGGAAGTTGTGGAAAGGGTTGTTGCGGTAGTTCTCCTGAATGGCCAACTAAATTTGGAAGAGAAAGGAAATGATTCTTCCAACAGGTTTGGATTTGTGCAACCATTTTTCCCCGTAAGAAATATCCATCCATCCATGCATTTTCCGATCCGCTTATCCACACAAGGGTCACAGGGGTTGCTGGAGCCTATCCCAGCCGTCTTCGGGCAGTAGGCGGGGGACACCCTGAACCGGTTGCCAGCTAATCGCAGGGCACACAGAGACAAACAACCATCCGCGCTCACACTCACACCTAGGGACAATTTTGAGTGTCCAATCAGTCTACCTCACATGTTTTTTGGAATGTGGGAGGAAACTGGAGTACCCGGAGAAAACCCACGCAGGCACGGGGAAAACATGCAAATTCCACACAGGAAGGCCGGAGATGGGATCAAACCCACGACCTCTGCACTCTGAGGTCGACGTGCTAACCAATGGACCACCGGGCCACCCCCGTAAGAAATAATGGAACCATAAACACTCCGTTTCAGGGTTGATCGGAGGTCATCATAAATTCTCATTCTTACCACAGAAGTGTTAAATACACAGCTTGAGGCAAGCCTTTTTTCCCCCTTCCTGAAATACTTTGTACAATAATAATTTGTTTCGCAATCTGGTGTGTTCTTACTCCTTACCAGCCAGCGTTTGAGTGTGATGGGGTTCATGTTGAATTCTTTCACCAGACCCAAGTCATGGTACATATACTCCAAACAGCTCAGCATCTGAAGCCGCACAAGATGACATCCGTGCAAAAAGCTGCGATGAAAAGCATCAAAGATAGCTAGATGACGTGCATTCGCATACTGTTTCCATACCTCATTGTGTTCCCAGTGCCAAACATCAAACGTTGGCTTCTTCAGCGCCTCGACAGTCTCCTGAGACAGTGTATACTGTCGAGTACAAATGCGTAAGAAGAAGCAGAGAGAATCTTCATTTGTTGGATGTTAAGTGTCTCATCAAACGCACCTTTGGGTAATTGGGCACATCTCGTCTCGGGGTGACTTTCTTCCCGTCGTCGAAGTTGTATTTGCATGGGCAGTTTATCCTAAAGCAAGAAAGAAACATATTTGAGTTCATGTCGAGTACTAAGTCTGAACAGAAGAACACATGGCTGTTCACGCCTGAGACAGGAACTGAAACTATGGAAGGGCTTTGGCTCATGATTTCTGTTCAAGTTCATTTCCAAAGGGGTTTCGGAGCTTAGGGTGAGGGCCTAACTGTTGCGATCTCGAACACCAAACTCATGCAACCAGGAATTCGAAGCACTTGGAACGTGACATGGATGAGCCTATCATGTGTTGGGAAGGTAAATATTGTATTTCCTCTACAACACTATCCGTCCCTCAAGACGCCGTACCCCAATTTGTTGCCAGGGGTGTCATTCACTCCAGACCAAAGAAAGCATCCCTGGATTACGCTGGAGCTACAGAAGATAAAAGTCTGCACACCTCTTTTTAAATGCCAGGTTTTCATGACACTACGCCACGACAACGAGGCTCTTCGGTACTCCGTGTACGGCTTTTTCCATTTTGTGTTAGCATTAAATTAGCCGACTTATGACGAATCTATGATTTAAATACACAATGTGTAACTTTGTTTGTTGTTATTAGTTTGGCAGTGAACTTAAACCGGGAGTGGCAATAAACAGCGTGAAGCTTCTTTTTGGAAGAATCGTACCAAACGGATTGGAAGCGAGTTGAGTTTTTGGTCACCATACAGCGCTCGTATGTCTCTGATTTTTGCTTGCTTGAATTTAATTGACTGGCTTTTGTCCGACGGGCGAATAAATCATGTCAAACGTCAGAGTCACCTGCCGCCACTTCTCGATGTCATCTCATCGCGAAGCTTCCTCAGATCATTTTTACACTTCTCAATCTCCACCACCTTCAACCCCTCCACTGAAACATAAACACACCAATTCATAGTTTTCATATTTGTGGCGTCGTACCGTATTGGATTTGTTTTTCTTCCAAACTACGACTTACGCTCCACTCTCTTCTCCAGCATGGCAAGCCTGTTGGTGACCTCGGTCTTCAGCTCATTGATGCGAAACGCTCTGCGAGGAAACCGTATTGCGTCATTTACAGCAGCCAAATAAGTAAAAAAAAAAAAAAAAAAAACAACACAGCGATTGACTGAGTTTGCCTTCAACGGGCTTGAGCAAGTGGCTTTGAACGGGCATAACAACAAAAAAAAAACACCAGAGGTGTCACCTGCTGAACTGCTCAGCCACCTGGGACAACACATTCTGAAACATGTCCTCCTTCTCTGCACAGACAAGTACGTCCGAAAGTTGTCACTTTGCTAGTTTTACGATTGTTGTTGACTCATGATTGGATGTGGTCGTGGTCGTAGGTTTCCTTACCTCCAAGTTGGCCAGTAGACAGGGGCACAACTTTGTACAATGAGCTATACACAAAGGAGATTGTTATTAGAACCGATTTCATTTTTCTTTTCTTCTCTAGAGGTGCGTTACAGCTAAACAGACAACTTCAAATTCAATTAGGACTATATCAAAATGTCCTAACTTGAAAAAGTCTGAGTAAGGAAATTTCATCGTACGCATACTTGGGAGAATTGGTGGGCATTGTGGGATCAATTGAGACCAAGGCGCCTTCGGGATCCACCATCATGATTGCAGTGTTCCTGTAGATAGAACATACAAAGAAAAGTTAGAATATGGTAAATCCATTCAGCTATTATTTAGAAAAAAAAAAACAAAAAACAAAAAACAAAAACAACAACAACATCAAAAACTTTAAAGCCTTCTTCATTGTAAATACTTTAAGCATTCAGCATGAATGCATAAATAAAAAGCCTTAAAAAGGAACTTCAACATGAGTTTATTTCTTTAAAAAAAAAAGTAAACACAAAACTAGTCATGCACTGCCCCTATGTGGTTTGGAGTTTGAAGTGCAAGCCAATATTTTATAATCCTCTTCCTCCTCCTCCTCCTCCTCATCATCATAATGATGGATTGACTATGATTTACTGGATTTAGGATTTACATCTCCTTTTGGGTGACCTGCATCAGGTGATACAACAGCTCACGCGTGACAATGTTATCTTGTCATAACTCAATAAAATCTAAATAAAATAAAATAAAATCTGAGTCAATAGCACGACTATGAAAATTAGGCATATTGTCACCAAAAAGATTTCACTGGGATCATAATTGTAATGACAAAAAATTTTTTAAAAATGCAGATAAAGCCAGCCGGAGGTACCGACCTGGGGATGTTAGAAGAGGTACAAAGAAGCTCCTTAATATCACATGGACTGCAGTGCCGACTGAACACCACCTGGGAAGAACACACACGCAATTGTATTCTTCCACGAGATTTAATGCAAACTAAAAACAACATGAAACGAAAACACATCAAACCTAAAGGTAATACATTGAGCCCTGACAAGCCCTTTGATGTTATTTTGGTTAATACAAGGCCTCAGTGTTGCTTCACAGGGCGGGGCAGAGTGATCATATACCACTCTACAGCTCAAAGCATGAACAATACATTCAATAGAAAAGACCGCTTTGAAAGAGGCTTCTATATTCTACAAAGAAATGCCCAACAGCTCAAAGTAAATCTGTGATTCAATGGCATGAATCGAGACAGAAAATGGGCATGCGTGTGTAGAAGAAAGAGCAACACAAGAACGAGTGACGGTGATCTTGCTGTGACCTTGAAAAGAAGCAGGTGTCGCAGACAAACACTGAATCGTAGGTTCGGGCCCTCGAGCAGACATGTGTCATCAGCAGCTCTCTACTTGAAACACTTAGCAGACAGCCAAGTGTTGCAAATAAGCGTATGTGCGCTTGCAATGATGCTGAATGAAATCTAAATGTAGACAGCCTTTTGCAGTTTCTGGTTTAGAATGGTTTATAAGATGGCTGCGTGGTAATAATAGCAACTTTATTGCTACAGTATTTGGCAAATACTTCCCAAGTAGGCAGTCAAACCATATGATGTCTCCCGTACGATCAGCAAAGAGAAGCTAAAGAAAAAGTCCAGTGTATTTAGTATCATGAAAACAGAGCCTATCGCACCCATATTTCATTGTTATAGACATGATGACAAAATTTGGGGAAAATAAAAGAACACACAGGAATCAAGTATTCTAACGTGGCTTCATTTGCCAACTGAATCCCACTCACTGCGGACCTTCTCGGCATGCAAGCGATAGAATTTTTCTTTTCTTTCCTCTCTCGCTATCAGAAACACCTGTAAGGCTAAGTGCGCTCTGTGGCAAGTTCATTTTTAGATCTGACTCAGGCGAAGCGCGTCGTGGGAATACTTAGAAGGTACTTTAAATTGAATTAATGGCACACACACACACACACACACACACACACACACCCACACACACACACACACACACACACACACACACACACACACACACACACACACACAGATTTTTTTATGGATGGATGGACAATATTCTCTGTGCAGCTACTGCCCACTTTGGTAAAGCTGTCATTTCCAAATGAAAGGCGCATTCAACGTTATTATTGAAATCTTTCTTTTATAATAATATACACTTTGTGTTATCTATTCCGACGGTTCAAACACTTTTTACGCCAAATATTCAACCTCCAAAAATATTTGACGATGCAAATACCAGTGTAATGACAACCATTCATAAGATTGAATGTAAATGTGTACTCTACATGAAAGTTAAATACAACTGAATTCAACTTTAAAAGATATTTAAAAAAAAAAAATCCTGTCCAGGACAAAGTAAGTTTAAACAGGCTATCTGCATTGTAACAAGCTTCATTCTAATATGGTGAATTCATTTCATGTTTTCAACTTTGTTAATTTGATTGACATTTAATTTGCCGATTATTATGCGGACAACGAGAGATTTGTGGTGTTCTCGTACCGCACATCTATTTCACTCGATTATCTTCGATGACAACAAAACATGGCAGTAAAGCACTCCAAAACTACAATAACTTGGAATTGGGTTATTTTCCATTCTTTTTCTCAAACTCACCTTCTGCATTTTCCCATCCACATCCAAAAAAATGGCTTTGGGGGCATAGGAGGAGGAGCTAGAGCCCATGTTTGACCTCCCGCTCCTCTTGCGCGCCCGTGGCGATGCTGACTTGGACTGGCACTGATGGGCAAAGTTGAGCAGGCGGGAAGGTTTTCTATCACATACAAACAAAAAATAAATGAAAAAATAGGTGTGTGTGTGTGTGTAGGGGGGGGGGGCAATCCATAATGGACAAAAACAAGAGGAAAACAGAAGATAAGAACAAGTAAGCATCCTTCTTTTCTCTTCCAAGTTGATGAAGTACAAATTACATTCAGGTCAAATTAGTAATAACGTGCTACCGATACTCACAATGCGAGGCCGGCAGCTTCCCCCGACGGAGAACGAAGGTAACGTCCCCGGGCTGACGACGCTGCAGCCGACTCCCTTTCGAGACGCGTGAGCTGTTCAAAACCGCAACTGACAGGGCTGAAGGAGGAGAAAGGAGGCGCTGAGCCGAGCGATGGAGATGCGATGTGAGGCGTGAGGGAGCCAGAAGGCTTTGGTGTTCCATCAATATAACTGGCTCTCCCGGCTAGTTGCCAGGGGACCGTTACTATGGTGAGAAGTAAGACAACCCCCTGTGACCCTACGCTGTGGTCACAGGCCTCCACATAAACATGATGGGCGTCAATAGAGATTTGTTGAAATGGTTTAACCAGCCAAGAAGTGAATCATACCTGCGTCGAGCAGATGATTCATACGCATCCACGGGGGAAACCATTAATACATTTTTAAAGAACAGTTGGGTCAAAAATAACCCAATGATGGGTCAAAAATGGCCCAACTGCCACTTGGGTTAAATAAGTAACCCCCAAAAAAGCACTGCAAAATTCATTTGACCCAATGTTTGGGGGGTCAAATGAACAATCCACAAACCACTTCAAAAACTCTCCCACAATAGATTTTTTTTTTATGGGGAAATTCATTTGATCCAACTTTTTTCAGGGACAGCGGTCACTACAGTGGACATCTTATCATGTTATCAGGTGACGGGTTATCATTATTGGTGCATGAAAGGGTTGAATGAAGGACTCAAAAAGTGTGCGGTCAGTCTGTTTCTAATCCATCATTGGGCTATTTTTGATCGAACGCCACCATACAAATTACATCCAGCACGTCAAATCCTCCCAACTGCTGATCGTTGCTTGCTTTGTTTCGTGAATACGTATCGTAGACACGTACACCGTCATTCTGTCTTCTGTGCTTGTCTCCTCCTCCCCTGGCCACTCGTGAGCTGACATGCTTCTTGAGAGTAGGCCCACCAGATGGTTTGGTCAGGTGAGTTGGGACCATGCAGCCACTTGATGAGATTTCAGAGTCGGGTTTTATTTTTGGTGACAATTTGTAGTCTGTTGATCTCACACACACACACACACACACACACACACACACACACACACACACACACACACACACACACACACACAGACAATAGGAAAAAAAATGCTGGGTTGAACACCCTGGAGAACCTAAAGGGTCAAATTTGGCCCTAATCCTAAATTAGGATTAAAGCATTGAATATTTGAATAAACATATATTTTGGTGTACAGTGAACATATCGCAGTCATTTAATGTATAATTCATTATTTTCCAAAGAAGAAAAGGGTTCTTGGGTTCTCCAGGGTTCATTTTATTTTCATCAAGTAGTTGCATAAAATAAAATAATCTGAATCCAGATACCTTTTTTTTAAAATTGATGTATAGTCTTCTTAAAATATGCAGCTGGATCCAGCTGCGAGTAAGTCACATACGTGCAAGTCTTAAACAAGTCCCAAGTCACAGTGGAAAAAAAAAAATCAACCAAATCAAGTCACCACCAAATTTCAAGCAAATCAAGTCACCACCAAATTTCAAGCAAGTCAAGTTGAATCATAAACTTTCACACAGGAAGCACATTAAAGGACATATTCATCTCTAAAAATGAAATGAAATTGGTACTCCTTGTTTCTCTGACTGGGTCCTAACTCGATCATGGAACACTCAAATTTAGTCCACTATGATCAACATTTTGTTTGCCTCACTACGCTGCATGATATCAGCAACAACTCTGCAGGATGGTGGGTGGCGTACAGTTAATTCAATTTTTTTTTTTTTTTTTTTTTACTGAACTGAAATATTGTAACTAGCCAGGCTGCGTATGTGAGATCGGCCGGTGTAAGTATTCGTCATATTTCCCCCATTTTCGTTGAGCCTCTTCACTAACCAGTCTCCAACCGCCCACTGCCAGTTATTTAAATGCTTACCTACAAACGCTTACTAAGACCAAATAAGACCCCCCCGCCCATGCCTGGGGAATTTCACATCAACAGGACTTGAGTGAAAATGCTCCACCAGGCAGCGAGTAGGAGGTCATTAATTAGAGATAGAAAGCGTCATGCAGGATCTCACACACTAACACCGGTGATACACACATACACGGAGACGCAATCCAAGTCCCTCGAGGTTAATTACCATCGCTGCATCCCACTGCCTAAATCTCACTACAAGTGCCACACATCGGAAGAGACTCCGTCATGAATGTGTACGAAAACAAAAACGTGATGTCCAACGACTGACCTAAAACTCATATTATGTGTTTTGTATTTTAGTAATGTGTAAGTGATTACAGTGGAACTTTGCAAATTCACCTTTTGTCTGCTATTTTTCTGGGAGCCTATCCTCTGTTATTTGCAAAGAAACAATTTGCGATTTTCTATGTCATGGCCCCCAAAAAAAATCTAAATTTGCAAATTTTTTTATGACAAAGTACTGCCTACCGCAGATGTCACCAGCGTAGTACCCAGAGGCAACAGGCAGCCCCGGAGGGGGAGGACCACATGAGTAAGCCACAGACCTCATCTAAAAATAACTCACTCGTGATGGCATATTGTAATTTCCTAGTCATGTGACGTACAAACAATTATTTGAACATGTAAACACTTGCAGAGATTTGTCAGAATAAAGTGTTGCATATTTACATTTATCTGCTTCCTACCTTGTTCAGTCATGAATATGATCAGTTTTCACATTGGTGAGTATTACCGTGCTATTGATTAATCAACCATCCATCCATTTTCGAATCCGCTTATCCTCACAAGGGTCGCGGGAACACATAGACAAACAACCATTTGCGCTCACAATCACACTTAAGGACAATTGAGAGTGTTTCATTAACATGCCATGCATGTTTTTGGAACATGGGAGGAAACCGGAGTACCCAGAGAAAACACACAGGAAGGCCGGAGCCGGAATTGAACCCTTGACCTCTGCACCGTGATGCCAGTGTGCTAACCAGTCGACCACCGTTCTGCCCTTGATTAATCATAGCATAGCTAAATATCCATCCACCCATCCATTTTCTGATCCACTTTATCCTCACGAGGGTCGCTGTGGGTCCTGGAGTCTTTACCAGCTCTCTTCGGGCAGTAGGCGGGGGACACCCTGAACCGGTTGCCAGCCAATCGCAGGGCACACAGAGACGAACAACCATTCGCGCTTACACTCACATCGAGGGACAATTTAGAGTGTTCAATCAGCTTGCCGTGCATGTTTTTGGGATGTAGGAGGAAACCGGAATACCCGGAGAAAACCCACCCAGGCACGGGAAGAACATACAAACTCGACACAGGAAGACCGGAGCTGGAATTGAACCCTGTACCTCTGCACTGTGAGGTCGACGCGCTAACCACTGGATCACTCTGCCAGAGATATTCTTAAAAGGCAATTTGAGCACATTCCTGATTTCAGAACCGTGCATATCAAAATTGATCGCCCTTTGGGGAAATCAATTGCCAAGAATTAGCTCACACTTTTGAAAAAGTTGGGGACCCCTGGTTTCAAGTATATGATATTTCTTGTGTTGGAGCTCTGCTTTCAAAAAGACAATGAACACTTCATGTAGCAGTTAAAGCTATCATGCAGATGTATGAAGACGGTGTTACATTGTTGGCCAGAAATTTTGCTTGTCCACACAGCGCTATAGTCTGGCAATGGCAGCAAATAGTCGAGTCGACGGTCGTCTGTAAATTGGACGATTGGAAGACAAGATGCTAAAAACTCATGATGAGCAATTAATAGACTTCAAGTGTTAAATGTGTTCACAGAGTAGCAATGTCGACTCTGTTGACTAATCAATGAAAGCCCCGGCCCCTATAATAGAATATTTGGGGCCCACTGTAGTTTATACACATCCGTGTGCCTACTCGGCCTGAATGTCAAATGAGAATTCAAGAGCCTCTATTTGTCGAAAAGGGAACCTGCATCAAAACAAGCAGATATGAGCGTGTCGTCCAAAAGAGTCGACACATTACACCTTTAGACAACCAAAAGAAACATTTCGGGATGAAAAGGCGTCGATGAAATGATAGATAATTTCAATGACAAAAGGTCTTGCCGGGCAGCTGGACATCTAAGGGGAAGACACATTATCCTGATAATAGCGATAGACCGGGACATTTTTCTTTTTTTGGTGTGTTTGAGTGTGTTTTTGTGCTCTCCTTCTGATCATTAGACATCCCAACTGCACACAGTTCCGATAACATCATCTGCTTTTTCATCTTTTGATACCAGGCTCTCCTAATGCGGATGTGCGGTGTTTTTCATAAGATAGGTCACAGTTCTCGGAGAGGGGGCGGGGGCGTCATGGAGAGGTAGTCACAAATCAGTTACAAATACTTCCAAATATTTTATATGTATAGCCTAGCTGATGTCAATTTTTAGAAATGTGCAGTGATGTTTGTCATTTCACTTTTGGAAAATGTTTTAAAAAGACTTCATTGACATGAACTGACTCTGGGACGAATTCACGAAAGGATCGTAGGCTTTTGCATGATGCTAACCGTAAAAAAAAAAAAAAATAGAGCAGTTAGCGTCAAATTCTCTAAGCGCTCTCAGTTGGTGCAATGCGTCGCCGGCTGTTGGTGACAACCACTCTGACAAGCCGTTAGCTTCCAAATGCCAATCAGTGCATGAAATAGAATGACACAATCAGATGGTACACAAAAAGCAAAGCAACTGCAAATAAAACGACTTCATTGAGTAAAATAAGCTCAGCAAAAAAAATTTTTTTTAATGCAACTTTTTAATAGACTAGTCCTGAAAACCACAAGGAACCAAAGTCACAAAAAAACCAAAGTCAGAAATAAAACATGACACGGACACACAAACACACAGCCACAATGATCCAACAAAGACTGACAGAACCCAGGGAACTAAATACAAACAAAGTGACGAGACAATGAGAAACACCTGGACAAGACACAAAGGGTTGAGGGAGCTGATTGGTTCAACACAAGGGACACGGATGATGAGAACAGGTGGAGACAAAAAGGGCACATGAGGGAACAAAACCAAATGGAACCCAAACAAAAACATAACAGAAAGGTTCTGTAAATGTTTGCAATTTATTCATTTAGACTACACGCCCCCCAACCAGCCCCCACGGGCCTGGGGAGAAGCTGGGACAACAATGTGAACACCATTGCATGCTGGGCCTTTGATTGCATTAGGCGCAAAGTGCCCATTTAATACAGATATTAAAAACATCCATCCATCCATTCATTTTCTAATCCGCTTATCCTCACGAGAGTCGCGGGGGGTGCCAGCGCCTATCCCAGCTGTCTTGGGCAGTAGGCGGGGTACAACCTGAACTGCTTGCCAGCCAATCACAAGGCACACGTCGATGAACAACCATCCACGCTCAAAATCACACCCAGGGACAATTTAGAGTGTTCCATTAACCTGCCAGGCATGTTTTTGGAACGTGGGAGGAAACCGGAGTACCCAAAGAAAACCCACATAAGGCAAGTGGAGAACATGCAAACTCCACATAGGAAGGAATCGAACCCTGCACCTCTCCCTCAGCGGACATGCTAAAAACATTTTGTTGTAAAAATAAAAGTATATCACAAAATGTTCTTCATTGATAACAAACAGATGAGAAATACGCATTAAATTGTGCACTGCTGCTTTAGCATCCAAAAAAAAAAGGGTCGACACAGTATTTTGCTGCGTGAGAGAGCCGTTTTTCATGAAGTCCTTTTCAACAAATGAGTGCACCTAAGAAACAAAACACACACAACAGGTCTTCAAATGGAAGACAATCATGAAAGGTTGCATTGAGAGACAATTCATTAGAATAGATTGCATGATTACACGATGACGTTCAAGTTGCCTGCAAATCAATATGATTGAATAAAAGTCTCTTGACCTTGACTAGGCTGCCTTTTTAATTCAACTAATCCCAGGGTTATTGCAGAGCTGATTTATACTTTGTGGGTCCAAAAGCCAGCAGTGGAATATAAAAATAAACGACTGATAAATTCAGTCCACTGCCTGCACTGATATGGAATTGAGAGACTGCAATGTAATGGTGACATCTTATGGACTAAAAAGCTATAACACTTTTTCAGAAAAATAAAAACCCTTCAGAAAAAACGCCTTCTTAATCATAGCGTGAACCTAGTGATGAATAATATTCTTTGAAACTATAACTTCTAATAATGATCCAAATTACTCTCTGCATGTTCAACATATTTATTTGTACAGGGGAAAAAATGCATAAATGACAGTAAACTACATATAACACAACTCTGCTATGACTGATGAATAAATTATCATAAGTACTGTATATATTTGTTTAGGGATGTACATGAATGCATGATACTATCACAAAGTAAATATGACGCAGTTCTATTACATTGAACAGTTTTAAGTGTACGCATGCATGCGTGTATGTGTGTGAGTGTATGTGTGTGCGTGTGTGTGTGTGTGTGTGTGTGTGTGTGTGTGTGTGTGTGTGACCATAATAATAGTAATATTAATAATAATGACCGTAATCATCATTGAATCAGCAAGCTATAGTGACCTCATCGTGTCCAGTGTGTTTATATGCTTCACTGTGTAGTAACAGGTGTCCATCCCTTTAATAGACAAAGCAAAGCATTTAGGTTTGTAAAAATGCATTTTTATAATCGTGCAGTCATGAAAATGAATCAATATGATTTCATGACTTTTACTTACTCATTACTTTTCCACAAAAATATATATTTCATAAAAAGAATAGATGGTATGCAACATAAATAATAATGAATAATGAATTTACTATACCGGTGTGTGTGTGTGTGTGCGTGCGTGTGTGTGTGCATGTGTGTGTATATATATCTATATGTACATCTCTATCTATCTATCTATCTATCTATCTATCTATCTATCTATCTATCTATCTATCTATCTATCTGTCTATCTGTCTATCTCCATATATATCCATATATACTGTATATATTTTAGACACACACTCTCTTTGAACCTTGGGACAATTTTTAATGACATCCACTAAAGGGGACGCTACAATATGATGAATATGAGGTCATTAGATAGCATCCATTGCTGTGGATGTTTGACTGTAAGGTCATGAAATAACATACATTGGCTGTATTCGGCATAGCATGATATTCATATAATTCATATAAAAAGTATATATGAAAACAGTTCACAAAGTACAAAATATTGCAGCTTTTTATTTTGTAGTTACACAAAAAGAACAGTTTGGGATTTTACAGACACCCCCGCCCCCCCCCAAAAAAAACAAAAGTGTAAACATCCGAACTACTCATCGGATGTTCCCAGTGAAATTAATACATCAAAAGGGTAGTTCTGCATAGTACAGTCAACGTAACCTATGAATTCTCGACACGATAGACTTTTTTATCACAGGAAATCATGAAAAGCCTACAGAGGTATTGCTGGTGGCCAAGGAAGGAATTCTCGGATGCATCCGTTCTCCTCCTGGCAAATTGCAGCAAAGACGATGCGTGATGAACAACCAGGAGTTACTGCTGGGGAGAACCCTGCGTCTTCTCGCTGGAGGCGGGACTCTCGGCCTCCACGGGCAGGCGAAGGTTTGGGATTCCAACGGGAGGCCGAACTTTTCTGATGGGGCTGAAACTGCGTGGAGACGAGCAGGGCGAGTGGGCTGGCGAGCGCGCCGGGCTCAGCGGAGGTCCCGCCGGGGCTTGCGGGAGAAGCTGTGCCAGCGGGGAGGGACTGCGGGAATACCTGCGCGGGGTGGTCCAGATGGGCGGTTCAGTTCTGTGGGTGTGGGTGGGGAGGACCGGGACGTAGGTGGCAGGAAAATTCAATTCTGGTTGACTGTAGGCAGTGCAAGCACTTTCTTCCAAACGCTCCAGAGTCTCCTGCAAGATGAGAGTCAAGAGCAACTTAGAGTGTTCCATCAATCTGCCACGTGTGTTTTTAGAATGTGGGAGGAAACCGGAGTACCCGGAGAAAACCCACGCAGGCACGGGGAGAAGATGCAAACTCCACACAGGAAGCTGGGATCGAACCCATGACCCCTGGACTCTTGAGGCGAATGTCGTAACCAGTCATTCCCCGTGCCACCCTAATATTTGTATTAAGCCTTTTTATTTGTGATTGTTTCCTTCTGTGTTGTCACAGTTGGGCATTGACGTTATTTGTGTTGCAATTTGGGGTTTTGAACGTTGTTGTTTCATGTGCCCCGTCGTGAATGTAAACACACACATATTGGATATATATAACTTGAAATGTACATACATAAAAATACACAATTACTGTTCAGTTGTATTTCACTTTTTAAGAACAATACATTTGTATTTCATCTTTTCGAATTGCTTGTTTTCCGGTCGAAAGGACTTGAGGCTTCACTTACGTCTTCGTTGAGTACATAGAGAGGCATGGGACTCCTTCGGCCGAGGGTCATTGGTTTCGGTACTACATCAACTGCAATAAAGACAAAACGTGAACTCAATATAACACAAAATCCTTGCTTTATACATAATAATATATGAAATTCGAAAACGTTATGTAACTAAATTATATAACAAAAAAACAAAAAAAAACAAAAACGCTGACCACTTCCTATAAGAATTATGACAATAAAAAGAAAATACTCGTGAAATGATTACACTGGTCAACAAGTTTTCATTCAGAAATGCAAATACACATTTCGAAATTACTTTTTTGCCTCCATTCCAAATCTGCCCTCATTTAAATATTTCTAGCGAGTCAAGTGTTCATAACACCACCACCACCGACCAATATTATTATTAATAATAATTATTATTATTGTTGAAGCTGTTGGTTATTGACCGCAAAAATCGAAAAACTTTAAATAAAATGAAAAATCATTGCTAAATGTCATACATATAAATATTTCTGTTGCCAAGAATATGGAAGCACTGTACAAAATGAAAATTTGCTCACCATCATGGCCATTTTCCCCCTGCTCCATGTAGACGGGAGCTCTCTGCGGGACGGGCCTATGTTTCTTTCTGAGTGGAGGTGAGGGTAAGGGTGGTTAAAAAAAAAACAAAAAAAACCACAAAACAACTTATGCGTTCTTATGCAGCAGGCAGACAGAAGAAGGGTAAAAAGAAGGGAGCGACAGGAATGAAAGAAGAGTCCTCACTTGGAAGGCTTCCAACATGCGCACACGGTCACCAGGGTGATGAGGAGGAAAATGCCTCCGGTGGACAGGATGATGTACAGCGAGCTCCGTCCTAAACCAGAGGCAGATAGGAGCGATGAAGAGCAAAAACAAGAAAGCCCCCTGCCCCAAAAAAAAAGAACCGCAACATCAGACCAAAAGTTTGCCCCTGTTTTTGCACAATGAAGTTGCCCCACTGCATTCCTATTTCAGACTTGAAATACCGTATTGGCTCGAATATAAGACGGCCCTGATTATAAGACGACCCCCTCTTTTTCAAGACTCAAGTTTGAAAAATGACTTTTTGAACACCAAATTAATTTTTCTACAGAAAATAATTGCAGAACATCTGAAACAAATGATTATAACAATATATTTGAGAGAAAAAGCATGTTATTTTGCCTCATTCAAATCTTAAGATCTGAACATTTAAATATGTAAACTAAAGTGCAATCACATTCGTAAATGAATGGCTTCTGGTTTTTGAAACGTAAATTACATCATAACTTCTCCTCAGCTGCCGGTTAACCTGGCCGATCTTCGACCCACTTTTCTCCAGATTGTCGCTACATTTCTCCATTTTCTGTTATCTCTTTTCTTATTTTCTTCTCTTTTCTTTCTTGCCGCTATTTTTATTTTTCTTCTTCGTGCTACCACTAAATTTTTATTTTTATTCTTCGTGACATGGGTTCACTTTGGCCTGGGGAGTCAAGTTCAGCATTCGCTTCAATGATATCTGGCGCCATCTAGCGTCGTGAATGGGTATAATGTCTAGACCCCGAATATAAGAGGACCCCCACTTTTTCAGTCTTATTTCAATGCAAAAAACGCCGTCTTATATTCGGGCCAATACGGTAATACACGTCAGGCTATGTAAGCAAATTGTATTTTATTACATTTCAAGTGCATCATGCGTCTTTCCATGCTTGCGGAGGAAATAAAGTTGAAGCACATCCCGGTGGAGTAATAATATAGAACGGCGGATTGCTTTGTTCCGCTGAGGCACCTGCTTATTGAGATCCCTGCTCGTAAATAATCGTTTCATTCACTGGCTTTCACTGCCCGTTGTGGCGCGCAGATTTGCACTCGGGGTAAACAAGATTGTCGGAGAGGCAGGCGTGCTTCTCTGTGACTCAGTGGGATGCGATAATTGCTTTGGCGTGCAACTGAAAGTGACATCTGAATACATCGTGTGGAAATCCAACAGTCCTACCGGGGAACATGCCACCTACTGTAGACGGTGAGCTTGACGGGCGTGCTCTTCATGCTGCTGATGGCGTTCTCCACCATACAGGCGTAGATGTCGTCGTCCGACATGAGGACGCGCGCGATGCTCAGCACCTTTTGGTCGTGCGAGAGCAGTAGGCGGGAATCGTTGGCCTGTACCTTGCCTCCCTTCAGCCAAGCGTACACGGGCTTGGTGCCGTTGTCGTGGGAGCAGTGCAAGTTAAAGTGCTCGCTGTACTCGAGGACAGATGACGCCACCATCTGGATGTAGGGCTTGGAAACTGGAACTGAGGACGACACCACAATGACAGGCTTGGCGTGAAATGGGAATTGAATTGAGAAAGAAAGACATGCTACAAGGTATTTCATGGAATTGAATTCCTGTGTTGTATTTCACAGTCTATCCATCAGTCGCCCAATTTGAGCTTTTTCCAGAGGACGATGGGCAGAAGACTATACCTTAACTTTTTGTTTGCCAACCTTTATCGACCAACAAGGCACATCTACAAATCTCATGGAACACCGCAAAACAAAAATGGCACAAAAAGTTTTGGGCCTCAAACACGCTGGACTTGCGCTGACACGAAAATTAAGTGATGCCTGTTTCGACGCTGAGCGCACGGGCACCAATCCACCCAAATAGGGCCCAGAGAGGGGAACGCTTTACCCAATTAGCAGCCAGCCAACTCCACAATCTCATTCGGTGACTGCAACGTCTCTCAACAGGCCAGGCAGAATAACTCGACGCTGCTTCACCATGACAACGCACCTGCTCACAATACGCTAAGCATCTGACAGTTCCTGGCTGTGTCGAGGTGTCATGTGATGTCTTTTAGCATTGTGTTGACGGTCATGTAGTGTATTGTCCAACATGTCCGCCGAATACGAGGGAAGTGCCTACCATCCACAGTCAGCTCAATGTAGAGCTCCCCTGTGAAGGTGTCATCCGTGATGGAGATCTCCACCTCGTACGATCCTTCGTCCGACAGCTGCAGGTTGTGAAGCAGCAGCGAGCCGTTCTCGAACACCAGGATGCGGTTACGATACTCCGGCCGAAGGTTCCCGATGACTTCGGTGCCGATGGACTGCACCACGGTGACGGGCTTCACTTTGTCCCTTTTCAGCTGCCACTTGATGACAGGCTTGTCCGTGCTGCTGCTGGTGTAACTGACCGACAGCAGGGCCTCTTTGCCCACGATGCCCCTCACCACCTGGGTTTGGCTCGTCACATTCACCCCTGACACATCACCTGGGGAGAAGAACAGAACATTCCAATACTTTTGGAGGAGATTGTATTGTCTGTGCACGTCCGAAGTCTGAAGTCTAAACCTTCAAGTTTCACAGAAGTCCCAAGATAACGTGGTCAAAATCAAGTAATGCAAGTCAAGTTCCCACTAAATTTCAAGTAAGTTGAGTCAAGTCTTTGCTTGGATTGAGGCTGCCGTTGCACAATGTTCCCGGCGGCCGTGGCAGCCTGAAACAGGTCTGTGTTTTTTTTTTCCTCTGTATTTAACGTCTTTCAACATTTTCTCACTGTCTGGCCATGACGGGCCAATGGGATGAAGGGGCTGCTGAATTCTAAAGACTCAAAGGTAGTACAGTTTGGCCCGCGCTTTTTGTACGTTCCCTCCCGGCTCATCATCTTTTGTTTCTCACGTTCTGTCAAGTGTTTCTACTGATGAAAGGTGGACACTGACCAGCTCTTGGAACACGTTTGTGGGCACGGTTGAGTCAAACAAAGCGCCCGTGTCAAGCCGAGCCCCAGCGACGGTGAAGGGGTGTGGGACACATACTGCCGCTTAAAATATGTTGGACAGATAACAACTAATTTATCTATCTAGCTCTTGGACCAAAACATGCAACACACGACATAGTGCGGTCACTTCGTCTCTGCCTGTCTGACTCTTGCTCTCTCTCTCTCTCTGTCTGTGTCTGTCTCTCTGTCTCTCTGTGTCTGTCTCTGTGTCTCTCTCTGACTCTCTCTCTGGCTGTATCTCTGTCCATCTTTGTGTCTGTCTCTGTGTCTCTCTGTCTCTCTGTCTCTCTCTCTGTCTGTCTCTCTGTCCATCTTTGTGTCTGTCTCTGTGTCTCTCTGTGTCTGTCTCTGTCTCTCTGTGTCTGTCTCTCTGTCTCTCTGTGTCTGTCTCTCTGTCTCTCTGTGTCTGTCTCTCTGTCTCTCTGTGTCTGTCTCTGTGTCTCTCTCTGACTCTCTCTCTGGCTGTCTCTCTGTCCATCTTTGTGTCTGTCTCTGTGTCTCTCTCTGTCTCTCTCTCTCTGTCTCTGTGTCTGTCTCTCTGTGTCTGTCTCTCTGTCTCTCTGTGTCTGTCTCTGTGTCTCTCTCTGACTCTCTCTGTGTCTCTCTCTGACTCTCTCTGTGTCTGTCTCTCTGTCTCTCTCTGTCTCTGTATCTCTCTCTCTGTCTCTCTCCTCGCATGTAAAGTCAACTATGAGTATTCTTCTTATAGCTGGTTAAGATTTCATTCAAAGCATGGAGGAATGTTGTAATAAGACATTACTCTCGACAGCAATTAGACTCACAGGCTAAAAAAAAAAAAAAGAAAAAACACAAAGAATGTGAAAGTGGTACATTTCTGCTGAACCGACGCAGTAAGTCCCGATCATGTGACAGCGAGCCAGCACGAAACTGGCACCGCTAATGAAATTCAGGCCAAATGAGCTCTGGACTTCCATTATTTACGCCCGAGCTTCCTTTGCTCCAACACGTCAAACTCTCTCCACTGTTAAAGGCAGACACTACGATGCATTTTTCATCATGACAGGGCTGCTTAGTCGGAGGCTTCTTTTGAACCAATACTGAAACTTGAGCCTCATTTACATACAACTTTTTGATCTACTTCCAAAAAAAAAACGGTACGCATTTTAAATCTTGTACTTTTCTAACTGGATATTAGTGCAAAGGTACCAGGAACCCATTTGCCATGAACCAGGAAGTAGTTTACTTTCACTTCAGACTTCAATTTAAAAGGTGCACAAATGATTACAAGGGGCCAAAGGCAGTAAATTGAGTTTCCATATTTTTGGCACAATGCTTTCACTGAGAGTTGCTGCAATTTGAGCCTCTTGTTTTTCTCCCTTTGATGGCGACTTAATGAGCCCAAATTCTTTGCATAGGCGCCTTAACGCACCCATTAGTGTGCTCACTGTGTGCTCTGTTTATACACACACACACACACACACACACACACACACACACACACACACACACACACACACACACACACACACACAAAAATGCGCCCACATTGTGCTCATGAAATCCGTTCACATCTTTGATCACTAATCCGCTTCACAGAAACTGCAGGACATCCTCCCGAACATGTAACATACTAATTTAGATTTTTCTCCATCGACTTCACTCATCCTCCCATAAGACCGCATGTTATCCTTCAGAGTGAAGCCTTGTCTTGGCACAGCATAGCACATATGTTCCCTGTAGAGACTGCTTTTCCTTTAGTGGACATAAGTCCAAACATTGGCTCTTGGCCGGCTTTGGGGAGTCCCGTCAAAGATAGAGCGAGCAAGACAACAGGGAAAGAGAGAAAAAAAGAGAGAGAGAGAGAGAGAGATTCTGCACTGTTGACTAATTCTTCGCAGCCAGCCAGTTAGCAGGGCATCGCCTGCTAGTCATGGCAACCCCTTTGGCCGTCTGACAGGGGTTGTCAAGGAGATAAGACAAAGGGCACGATTGTTGGAGCACACTTGAAAAGAGGGAGCGAGAAACTGGGAACCAGAGAGAAAGTCTTTGTCAGTGGTGAAGTTGGAGATAGGCACAGGAGGTGCTACAGCACGAGAGGAATGGTTCCACATGCTGAGCCTTGGTTTGAACTTTTCTGCAGCTCTTAACAACATTTTAAAAGAATCGCAGTCACAAAGGAGAATGATAATCAGAAGAGCATAAAGCTAAATTGTTAACAACAATGAAAAACACAACAAAACATGATATTATAAGGTTACTTTTTGATTTACGGAGCACGGCAAAAAATGTTAGGATTGTACCATTTTTAGGGAGGATCGTTGGGGGAAATTGTTCCAATTGTGACGAAAATGGCAAAAAGGAAAGTAGTCGGAGGCTATTCCCTACTTCATGGAGGATGATGTAATACTGTATTTGAGTCACAAGGTGGCACCAGTCGGATTGTGCCAGTTCCGACCTGAAAGCGTTAGAGGCGAATGTAAACAATAAAGATGCCTGATTTCAAATAAACAACAATTAAAATTTAACTCAAATAGCACAAAGAGATGCAATTTTCCATGAACAAAAAGGTAAAGAAAAATCAGAACAACATGTATCATTTTCAATTATTAAGCAGTTTACTTTAGGGTTAATGGAGCATAACAGTGAGATGTATGCAAGTCATTTTTGAATCCGAAACAGTGTGGAATTTTACATCAGGACTCACATTGTAAAAAGGAAAATATATGAATGAACCAAAATCAAAATGATCAAAAACAAAACAAAATAAGATATGGTGTTTGTGTCTTTTTAGCAGGCTCCTTTCTGGTTCACTGGCAAAAACAAAAACAAAAAAGGGACTGTACCATTTTTTAATCTGGAGGATGCTGGAATGGTTTCATCAAGATTCAGAAAGAAAAAAAGGAAAACATGACTCCAACAAAAATGAAACAAAATGAACAAAATTGGAGAATGGCATCGTTGAGTTTGTCTGTTAGCAGGCCTTTTCCTGGTTCATGTAGCATATCGGGCCTACTGGATAAACCGACAGGTCTGTGCCATTTTTGATTCTGGGGAAGGGGGAGGTCAACTCATTTCAGTCAAATTCCTTCGATCAGTACTGCTTCTTTCTGTCATACTGAGCAGAATTTAGGGTGAGAGGAACTAACGTGTGATGTCATATTAGATTCTGTACACATGTCAAACTCAAGGACCGGGGGGCCAGATGTGGCCCGTCATATCATTTTAAATGGCTTGCGAAAGCAAATCAAAGATGACAACTTCCATGATACTTGCTGAAATTTGTACCAAAATTTCAAATTTTCATCTGTAATAAATCAGTGACATATTGTAAGCAGTTTCTTGTTACCAAAGCCCTCATTACACTTACTGAAACAATAGTTGAATAAAACGTTATTCTTGACTTCTTTATATAGTTTCAGTCATCACGGCCCTACAAGGGAAACGGTAATTATAATGTGGCCCGTGACAAAAATGAGTTTGACACCTCCGCTGTACACGGATGGCTCTACAGAGCGCAAAATGACTCAAACCCACAAAAACTTGGATTTCCACCAACTTTAAATGGGTTAGTGCCTTGCAATTGGCTGGTGACGAGTCCAGGGTGCACCCCGCATTTTACCCACCATTATCGGGACAAACGGATTTAAAAGGATCTTTATTGGTACTGATTTTGGAGTCAGAAGTCACTTATGATAGGTAATGAAATGTCTAAATTTCCTCTCCTTTTGCATTTGTGATGGAGGTCCAGTTTAAGAGCGACCACAAATAAACCATCATTTATGAGTTGCTATATATGACCAGAAAGTTTGATACATGACAACATAACGGATTTAAAAGGATCTTTATTGGTACTGATTTTGTAGTGATGGGGGTCCAGTTTAAGAGCGACCACAAATAAACCATCAACATTTATGAGTTGGTATATATGACCAGAAAGTTTGATACATGACAACAACAAAAAAAAAGTTAGGGCATACCTGTGAGGAGTAGAAGGAGGAGACCGACCAGGCTGACGAGGGAAGAAACTTCAGAAGAGAGGCTGTGCCCTGTCTTCCTCCCCACCTTCATTTTGTGTCCTGGGCAGAGGCGTTCTCCCACTTAGTGAGCATGGTTTCACCACGCTGGGCACGTCTCTCTCCCTTGTGAATCAAGGCTCTCCCCACTGCACTGCCTGCAACACTGGCCTCTTCCTGGACACACTGAGCCACACTCTCTCCTCTCAGCACCCCCAGTCAGAGCCAACAACAGCCCAACTTTGTGTTTGTGTGTGTGTGTGTGTGTGTGTGTGTGTGTGTGTGTGTGTGTGTGTGTGTGTGTGTGTGTGTGTGTGTGTGTGTGCGTGCGCGTGTGTGCGCGTGTGAGTGTTTAACAGAGACATAGTATGGATGAGCTTCCCTCTTTCACACCATGTTACACTTTCTGAGAAAGCAACAGGGGCTCAGGAAAGGTTTTGAAAAATGGTAGCTGAAAACGTAGACTTACAAAGGACTCTTGTTGGAAAGTACGACTGTACTTGAGTTTGCTGAAAGGGAAGCGCACGTGAAGTGCTCATTTGTGTGGAAAAACAACATGCCTCTTTAGCGCCTATTCATCCGAACTGGAGCCATCTTGGTAAATTCAAAAATGGTTACTTGGCAACCAGCCCTGCGTTGAAGCAATCAAATCCAGTCGCAGGTGATCGGTGGGCAAGAACACGTTCCTGACGTTATTTGCTCCGTTACATTTCATTTAAATGCGACATACCTTTCACGTTCATGTGAGTATTTTTTGTTTTCGTTCTCTTGGACTCTGCCAAGTGCGCTTTTTGTCATTGATTTTGCTCCGCAGGAAAATGAATAACAGACAAATCAGTGCAGCATCTGCAGTGATACCAAAAAAAAAAAAAATAGACGAAGCTCTCAATTTACTGAGTCGATCTACACCACATGATTAGCTATCACTTTATGCGATCTAAGTATTACAAGGATTTATGATCAGCCGGGATCGTCTTTCGGAGACATTCGATAATCGGGCCTTTTGTTGAGTTTGATTGGAAAGGGGCCTCAAATTCAGCTTGATTATCGACACTTCTATTGGTATGTCTCATTTGAAACTTTTTTTCCCCCCAGAATAAAATATTACGAGCCTTCAAAGTCAATTCTCTACCAAAAAAAAAAAAAAATAGACGAAGCTCTCAATTTACTGAGTCGATCTACAGCCCGACCCTCATCTATGGTCACGAGCTGTGGGTCATGCTTGAAAGAATAAAATTCTGGTTTGGCTGCCTCCTGAATGCCTCTCGAGTGACACGTCCCACCATGGAAGTTCTGAACATTTTTCCCAGTTTTCTTGAATGTAACATCTCGCCTTGTGTAAGAATGTATTACATAGACGATTTTGTCATTATTGCTGTGAATGATTCTGGAGAGATGTTCAGCTCTCACATCCAGTTGCTTCTCTATTTGTGTTATTTCATGATTAGCTATCACTTTATGCGATCTAATTATTACAAGGATTTATGATCAGCCGTGATCGTCTTTCGGAGACATTCGATAATCGGGCCTTTTGTTGAGTTTGATTGGAAAGGGGGCTCAAATTCAGCTTGATTATCGACACTTGTATTGGTATGTCTCATTTGAAACTTTTTTTTTCCCCCAGAATAAAATATTACAAGCCTTCAAAGTCAATTCTTAAACTTTCATCTTGTGTGCCTACATTTGAGAGATTTTAGAAAGAGGCAGCAGCGTGATTGAGAGCTCAAAAGTGGAGAATGTGAGAACAGACGCGTCTGTAGTTGGTCATCAAAGCCAATTTCCCCCGAAGCTCCACCCACCACCACCCATCTCGTCGCCCTCTTCCTCTCATCCTATGACACACTCCAAATCAAGGATGACTCTTGACAGTCAAAAGAGGGAAGCAGGAGTGGCGAGACATACTGCAACTCAGCGCCATGAGAGGATCCATTGTCTCGCAGTCTGACACTACTTGATGTTGTGTCACCCACGCGGTGCACAAGTCAGATTTTGATGTCGATTTTTTTTTTTCGTCCTGATTAGTTAAGTGGGGCTCGATAGACTAATTTCCCGGTGGTATCAAACCACCTTGACACACTTCGGGATTATGATCTATTTCCTACAATTTGCTGATGGGATAACATGGAAACAAATTCATGAATGATCAGCACAACTCACAACTGAGGAATTGGAGCAAAAAGAAGCGTAGGACAGATTGAGGAAAAAAAAAACAGGAAAAGTTGCTAGCAGCGCAATTTGCTAACAAGGCTAAGCTACACATCCAGATCACACGATGAAAACGAACTCGTAAACAATGATTAACACATCTGGAATGTACCATGTCGGTGTTAAACGTTGAGCTGTTCTCAGCTGTGTTCATTTTGGTCTTTGACAGATGGTTAGCTAGCTCGCGACTAATTTTACATACTTACCAGCGCTGCTTTTAGCTCTCTTTTCAAAACTGAACTTTATTGATCACTTTATTATAATACACAATACAATTTTACATACACCGCATTGAGTGGACACTCCGTTTTTCCCCAGCTTGTCATTTATTTATTTTTTAAAAATATATTATTAACCAACTAAGTGTTGAAAATACTTTGACAACATCACTTGGAGAACAATACTTGAGTGGTTGAGGGAGCTGATTGGTAAAACACAAGAGACTTGGCTGATGATAACAGGTTGAAATAAAAAGCGAGAAGGACAGCATATGAAAATGGAACACAAGAAACCAAAGGCAGAACATGAAAGGAAAATCCATGTAAAAACAAATCAAAAGTTGTACCTTCCAAGCCTTTGCATGATCGCAACTACTCACCAGTGTGGTGCTCCCCCATCTGCCGTTGTGAGACTGTCGTTGTAAAACAAACTCCTGTTGCATCGTGATATTCCAACCTGTCCACTCATAATGTGCTTTTTTTTTTTAAAATCAAAGTAAGATGTGAATTCACTTGGAGAAAATAGTGACTGAAAAACTGCCGCCGCTACGGTCCTGTCAGCTTGACTGCATTAACAAACGCACACGGGGGGTCAAATGTACGAGTGTGTGACTGGTCTGCGGCTGGTGCAATGATATGACAAATGGCAAAATAATGTGAAATGTAATGGCCTCGGATAGGCCCTTTGGCATGAAGCAATAGGTCCCGTAGAGTGGGCTTCTTTGTCAACTTTTGTGGCTGAATAATATGAAACTATTAAAACTTTTAAGACACTATCATTACAGCCACGGCACTGCACAGAATCGCCTCGGGTTGGTCGACCCATGCCAAGAATCTAAAGTGTTTGATAGGAAAATCAACAAATTGTGTGTTTTTTTTTAAAATTCTGATTGGCCCTTGTGTACCGTAGGCCCCAGGGCTTAAACCCAATGGTAAAACCACATTTTTCCGATGATCTAAAATCTTCAGTTAACACAAAGTGAGGGCCAAATTGTGCGAAGTTTTGCTTTGAAATCCGCTGGTTGACGACTCATTTGAGGAAACTAAACGACACGTTTTCACATCTGTCTTTTTCTTAATTTCACTGCCACTGAGTGGGTGTGCACTTGATTGATTGTTCACCCACAGCCATTAAAGGGACATGAAAACGTGGCCATGGCATCTCTGGGATTGAGTAGGAGAATAAGAGAAGTAGGTCTGCATAAAACCCGTAGAGGATGCTTATCACAATGTGGGGGAGGAGGAGGAATGACAGCCTGAGCAGGAAAGAGGACTCAAATTGTCTGTCCTCTCTTAGCACCTCGCACCTGGACATACAACCAGGAACGCACATTTGAGTGCAAAAGTGGAATCTGCTTGCCAAAGTAAGGAGGACTATTTAAAAAATAAATAAATAAAAAATTGTGCTTGTGTGAGAATGCATGTGCGCTGTGCTCTAGCTCAGATGCGCGTGGGCGACCTGAGTTGGAGCACAGGGAGGCTGAAGATGCTCGCGCTCGTCGCTCATAACAGCAGACTGGCTCAGCAAGCCATGCAGAAATATTAATTTGAAACCCCATATGCAATAGATGACAAGATGGTTATTTATGAGCCAGGAAACAGCTCATACCTTCATGCATATATGATACTGGGCAGTTTATCCATCCAGCCTATTCCAGCTGACTATGGGCGAAAGGGGGAATAACCCCTGAACTGGTCGCCAGTCAGTCAGTCAGTCACAGGGGACAAATAGAAGCAATATACACGCCCACAGTCACACCGTCACTGAGTGGGAACCGATGCCACATAGGTCAGGCAAGTGTACTGCGACACCATCAGCGACTGAAGAAAGTTTAATGGCCTCCTATTTTAAGTGCAACTGCAGGCAAAAATACTTGACATGCCTCCAAATACATTTTTAAATGACGTTTAAAACTATACATAAGACTGATACTCAAAATGTGGTACGAGTGATACGTGAGCTCCCTCAAGTGGTAAAAATAAATAAATAAATAAATCGCTGCCCGAGTACAGTTCAGCTGGGTATTACTTTTTAGTAAAATATATTTACATTGAAAATAAGGCACAGTTTGACTTTAGACTTTTACTTTGGTATAATTTTTATTTAACCTGTACGTGCCATACATTAAATTGCAGTGTCAATGTCTAAACTACATAGTCTTAAAAGTATCTAACACATCTATCCATCCATTTTCTCATCCGCTTTATCCTTACAAGGTTTGCGGGGCATGCTGGAGCCTATCCCAGCCATCTTTGGGCAGTAGGCGGGGGACACCCTGAACCGGTTGCCAGCCAATCGCAGGACACACACAGACGAACAACGATCCACGCTCACACTCATATCTAAGGTCGATTTAGAGTGTTCAATCAGCCTGCCACGCATGTTTTTGGAATGTGGGAGGAAACCGGAGTACCCGGAGAAAACCCACGCAGGCCCGGGGAGAACATGCAAACTCCACACAGGGAGGCCGGAGCTGGAATTGAACCCGCTACATCTGCACTGTGAGGTCGACGCGCTAACCACTGGATGATCAAATCTGGTTTTTATGAATAAAACCATCAATGCTCTCCAGCAATTCTCACATCTAATTTTGCCCAAGTAAACCACTTAAAATCCACCAACTAAATGACAAGGGTATTGATCCAGTCTTTTCGAAAAAGGGAGATGTACAAAATGCTCTGAAAAAAAGATTGCTAATTACTGCATGCTGACTGTTAGTTTAGATATGTAGACATTCAACAAGCCAACAAACAAAAACAAAAAAATAATGAGAAGCTACTTCTTTCCGGGATATTTTTAAATCTTTAATGAATTTAGCAAGCAGGTCAATGGATA